TATCATCATTGCCATCTGTGCAGTCATGCAATCATGTAATCTCCACACCATGCAATCATGCAATCATGTAATCATGTAATTCCACTGTGCTATCATGCAATCATGTCATCTCCACACCACGCCAACATGGTAAATATCCCTGAGTAGGAATAATGTGCACCGTTTTGCAGGTGCACGAAGAGGCACAGAGACGAAGCGTCTTGCCTTCAGTCCGACAGCCGCAGGGAACAGAGCCAGTCAGCCCAGCTTCCAGTCCCAGCCACTGTGATACACCTTGTGCTGGAAGAGGATCTATAAACCCCTTCCATATTTCCCCTTCCCCAGCAAGCTTCCTGGTTATGACATCTTTGCCCTGAAACGAAAGCCGGGTGAGAACACACGGTCTCAGCACAGGAGGATGGACGTGGAGTGCGACTCAGCAAGGACAGCGTTGCAATCTCCTCACATGTGCAGCTGGGGTCTGGGCCAGGCGGCTCAGCCCCTGCTGGGAAAAGAGCAACCCCCTCCGCCCAGGCCACCCCTGTGGGGACCCAGGGCTGGGGGTAGAGGAGACTCCCGAAAACCAAGAGCAGCCCTTCCCCCCCTCCTCTCCGGAAGGAGCAGAGAGATGCCCATAAACTCCTAGCAAAGGTGTCTTCTCCTTTTCCAGGTGCCTGGCACATAGCAGAGAAATAAATAATATTCATGAAGACGTGCTTACTATGATACACGTCTGTTAGCTCATTCAAACCCTCCCGATTTATCTTCCCTACTTTATGAAGGCTCAGAAAGGTCTTAAGTAGCTTCTCCAGTGTCTCAGAGAGAACAGAGAGAGAAAGAGAGAGACCCAGGGTTTAAGTCCAGAACTACATGGTGAACCACTATAGTATACTGCGTTCCTTAACATGCATTACTTCATTACGTCTGAGATGCAGGACAACAAGGCTTCCAGCCCCTGAGGTTCCTTTCCCTTGCTTCTATCCCATGAAAAGACCCCAATCTTCCCTGTCCCTCTTCCTTCTCTGCCAGTGCCCTGTCTACCTCTCTGTCTCTCCAGGCGGCTGCGGGAACAGGGCTCACGCCAGCCCGATGCGGTCTCATGTAACAGCACCCCAGCCACGGTTCATTCATTTGGTAAAACACGCTCCATTTATTCCCAGAGTTTGTTTCGGGGGATGTCAAGAGACAAACATATTTAGTAATAGTTTAAATATTTTAATTGGCTTTTATTTGGGATTCTACTACAGTCGGGCAACATCTCATTTAATAAAAATAGAGCGCTCCCAAGAGCAGAGGAGGTCGGCTTCATAGGCAGAAAAGAGCTGAAGACAGCAGACAGACAGAAAGCAGACTGATCATCTCGAAGTTACTTTCCTTGTAAAGGTTAAAGCAGAGGGGACTTGCCTATCATCATGGCTAAAACCGGCTTGTTTAGAGACTTGCCTTTTATCTGCCTCTCTCCTGATTTCTCGGAAGGTCAGACAAACCACTTAGTTTCAGCTTGGTGGAGTGGAACTTCAAGGTGAGTAACTCCATTTTGGCTCGGTCTGTTGGGCTTAGTGCAGGAATTCAGTGCAAACCAATGGCCTCCTATAAATTTTATTTAACAGGGATGTTAAATCCTGTTTACATCCTGTCTTTCCATTGCCCCAAACCCTGATCCTTGCAGAACTTCACGGGGAGAAGAAGTTCGTGTCAGAAAGTAATTTAGACAGAGGGTCTTCCAGCCCAGGAGTGAGATTCCCGGGTCCTGTTCCAGGATCTGCCACTGGCTGCCCTTGTGTCTCCACCTCCAAGTCTCATTTTCTCTCTTTGCGTTAATCAAGAATGAAAGGACCCTCCAGGGGGACAAGATGAAGGGCAGAGAAATGATTGTGCAAAGACATCCTTGCATTCATCGGGGAAGAAAATATTCTCCAAGAAGTTAAACGAAATAACACGGGTAGAGCATTTAGCTAGCACCTGGCACACGATACGTGCTCAGCAGCTGTCTGAGGATCTGGGTGGTGACGGTCCTGGAGCCAGAGGCACCTGCGGAGTCTCCTGGGCTGGCTGCTGGCAGGGAGAGTGCATTCCTGAGCTTGCCTGCAGGCCGCTGTCGGTAGCATGCCGCAGCTCTTAGGAAAGTGACTTGGATTTTACTGTGTGGACAAAGAGTTGCAAGACATTCTCATTTGCATGGAGATGAGGAGTTTATTTTTCCTAGAAACTGCATGTCAAGACCCAGAAGGAAGAGTCATTTCATCATAATGATTAATCAGCTATATCTCAAGGAGGAAAGAAAAGAAAACAATTAAGGAAATAAGATGCTAAGAAAACAAGGGGAAAAACAATCGCCCCAAGGTGGACCCACCCAGTAAACCTTGACAGCATTTCCTCTTATCCACCTGCATAAAAATGACCAGCCCTTTCCAGATGGCAAAGAGCGCCGAGAGAGGCCACGAGGAGCAGCCGCAGGCACCCAGAAGAGGTGAGGCTCGTGCCGTCCTTCCCGTCCTGGCCCTCATCCTTCAAGCTGCAGGGAGGTGACTCAGTAGCGCTGTGCGTGGCTCTGATGCCCCAGGTGCAATATTTATAGAATGTGGAGGGATTCTTCATACAAGGGGCAAACTTTCTAGGCGCTTATTTTCCGTGAGAAGAGATAGAGAGTGGAAAGGAAGGAGAAGGAATCTCAGGTCTTTATTATTGCTCTTTTGTTCCAGGAACTGTGCTGGGCACTTTATAGTGTGCTATCTTTTTTTAAAAATGCTTTGCAGTATTAAATAAATATTTTTTTTTTCTGAGACAGAGTCTCACTCTGTTGCCTGGGCTAGAGTGCTGTGGTGCCAGCCTAGCTCACAGCAACCTCAAATTCCTGGGCTCAAGTGATCCTCCTGCCTCAGCCTCCCGAGTAGCTGGGACTACAGGCATGTGCCACCATGCCTGGTTAATTTTTTGCATACATATTTTTAGTTGGTCAATTAATTTTTATTTTTAGTAGAGATAGGCGTCTCACTCTTGCTCAGGCTGGTTTTGAACTCCTGACCTTGAGCGATCCTCCCGCCTCGGCCTCCCAGAGTGCTAGGATTACAGGCGTGAGCCACTGCGCCCGGCCAGTAAATATCTTTTTAAATGCAAGGAGCACCTCTGGCTCCAAGGGGCCCAGTCAGAAATGGGTTCCTGTCCATCTGGTGTTGAAGGGAGCTACGGGGACGTCCCGCTGAGACGCCAGGGGAGGCAGCGTTGGGAGCGGGGTGGTGTAGCTGGGAGAAGAGCTGGCTCGGGGCAGGCCTGGCTCTGGCAGGTCACTTAACTTCGCTAAGTCTCAGGTCCCTCCTTGGCAAAGTGGGGATACAAACAAAACCTACCTCGAGGGGTGGTTGTGAGCCTTAAATAGGATGATTATGCAAAATTATCGATGAACCTGGCGTGCAGGATAAATGTTACCTGTTACTGCTATCTGCATGGGCAGGGTGCCTGGGGGCGCTTCACCGAGCTAAGGGAGGTGTCTTCTCCTCTACAAAATGTGTGAGGCTCTTGGCACGGGGTGAGCAGGCGACGCCCCACTGCGTCTGAGAGTTCTCTTGTCGGGAGGACACCTGTCCTTGCTTCCTAGTCGCTTGGCTTTCTGCAAGCACCACGGTGGCCTTTAGGGCGGACAGAGCTCTGGGGACTCTCCACAACCTCCCCTGACAACAACAAGTCTGTCTCCTTGTTTTGCCGGAAAGCAAGAGGTTGGGGAAAGGGGACTCCAGCTCCTTAGCATGACGCCTGCCACGTGCCGAGGTCCCGACACAGCCCTGTCCCCTCGCTGGGAGCGATGCCCACTTAAAAAGAGACGAGGCCAAAAGGGTCTTCCAGGCAGGATGTGCTATTTCTCGGCTTTCCGGAGAAGGGGCTGGGAGTCCCGAGGAAGGGGTGGCGCGTGGAGGTGGGAGTGGGGGCGGTCGTGGGGCACACACGAGTGGTCTTCGTAGTCACAGCAGCGGGAACTGTCGTGGGGCTGGCTCCTCTCCTCCACCGCCGCCCACCATGGGAAGGAGGAGAGAGCGCGGTGGCACCTGGGGGACACAGGCAGAGGGCCGGCCTATGCTCGCGTGTTGTCATGTGACTTACCGCCAAGGCTAAACTCTGTGAAACTTGTGCAAGAGCGGGGGAAAGCAGAGAGAGAGAGAGGGAGAACTCAATAAGCTTTGCCGTTTTATTTTTCTGCACTTTTCTCTGCGTGAGTTACATGGCACAATGCAAAGCGGTTAAACGGAGAGGCCGAGAGAAAGACAGAGGCAGGAAGGGCGAGAGGATGAGAAGAGGTGGCAGTCACTCGGGAGCTGGCCCTGCCTAGGAGCTAGCCAGCTGCACGCGTGCCCCTCACGCCACCTGGCTCGGCGGGCGATGGATGGGAAGTTGCCAACTCAGCCTCCGCCGTGGGCGCCGCCCCCGGCCCCTCGCCAAGGCTACTCAGTTGCAGGAGATGTCATGGGGCTCTCTCTCCCCTATCTTCTCCAGAAGGCGGAATCTGCATAGTTGGCCTCAAACACATGATTCTAAGCAGATACACACTGGGGGTTTATAATAAAAAGGTTTTGTCTATTCTAGGGATAAACATAAAAAAACCAAAAATGCTTTAATGGTTTTTCAGATCTATTGCCTAATTCCTAGGGCATATTACCAGGCCTCTTTTTCCTATTTAATTTATTAAAAACAATGCTTTTCACCCCTGTTGACAAAGCGAGCCGTGCTGAGTCACAGGAGAGAGATATGCGCACAGTTCTGCTCCCTGGGACTTGAGAGAGTATTGCGCTTTCTGGGGGCGGAGGGGGGGCCTGGGGTGGGGGTGCAGGAGGACTCATATTCAATCGACTTAGGCAACCAGAGGAGACACAGGCCCGTGGAAGTCTACAAGGCTGAGGTAGAGAGTCTCGTTCTCTTGGATGCCGCTTGGCCTGCCCTGCAGGGTCCTCGTGGGGATCAGCCAGGGGCCTTTTCTTTCGTTGCCCCCCGCCCTTGGCTGGGCAGCTGACTTGCACCCCTGTCTGCAGGACATGAAGTTACTGGACGTTTCCCTCTGGCTCCTGGGCGCAGTGCTCATCTCGTGCTTGGTGCACACCCGTGGTCTCAGGAGGTGTCTGATTTCCACGGACATGCACCATATCGAAGAGAGTTTCCAAGAAATCAAAAGAGCCATCGTGAGTATGGGTCGGGGTGAAGGTGTGGACAAGGGGTGTGCCTCGTCTCACGCCTTTGCTTGGAAAGCGAGATCCTTCTCTCCACCTTTGGTGTCTCAAGGGAACAGAGAGTGCTCATCGCTTGTGTCTGTTCTCATGTTTCTCCCCATAGCAAGCTCAGGACACCTTCCAAAACGTCACTATCCTGTCCACATCGGAGACCCTGCAGAGCGTTAAGGTACTGGCCTTTGTCGGCTCTTTCCTGTTATTTTCGCCTTCTCGGGGAAGGGGCTCTGGGCTGAGAAAGAAATCCCCACCCTGCCCCCTTCTCTTTCCCAATCTCCAGTGTCCCCCAGATGCACCAGGCTTCTCGTGTGTCAATTGATGTGTCAGGGCACACTAGGGTCCCAGGGACTTGGGACCCCTGGGGAGGGATTAAAGACATGCCACTTCCCGAGAGAGGGACTAGGAGCGCCAGGCACTGGGGTGGGGTGGAGGGGAGGACAGGATCTCTGTGGCTTGGGGACAATTCTGGAAGGTCCCCTGGGGAAAGCTGAGAAAATGAACAGGGGCTTCAAAGCCAGGGAGGCTGCAGATTAGTTGAAGAAAGGGAGGAAGCGATTTGGAGGGAGAAGAGCGTGGCATAAGGCCAGCGAAGGCGGGAACGTGTGCTGGGCACAGTGACGTTCGTGATAGGGAAGACATGTAGGCAAGCGGTGGGCGATGAGGCAGGAGAACACCCTGGAGTCATCTCGCAAAGACCCCCGAAGGCAGGCTGAGCCTCCGCCTTTATGATACGGGTAGCAGAGAGTCACTGGGGGCTTTGGAGCCCAAAGTTATATGATCACAAAATGCTTTAGAAAGACAAGCTGGCGGTGTCCTCGCCATGGACAGACAGCATGAGGCAGGAAAGCCGGTGAGAAGGTGAGCTCAACTGCACAGACAGGAGGTGACAAGAGTGTGTCGTGAAACCGCTGGCCGGCCAGGCGACAATTCATTTTACAAAAGGGGCCATGAGAGATGCCTTTATAAATGAGCCCCATCCAGTCCTTGGAAGCATTCTAGAAAGATCCAGGCGTTTCAGGGATTTGTGTGACACAGTGGAAGGTGTGTCTGCAGTGAGTGGCGTTTTCCTTGGGCTTCTCTGCACACGTGAGACAGATGCCTCTGTATTCCTCCTAGGCGGTGATTCATTCTTGGTGAGTAGATGCGGCCACTTACTAAATACCATGCCAGCCAACTGTCTGAGGGGCTCATAAGATATCACAGCTGTAAGGGGCCCCAAATGCTTTCTATTCCTAAAATATTATTTTCAGATGAAAACATCGAGATCTTGGGAGGCAGAATGACTAGTTAGTGGCTGAGCCGCGCGTGGACCCCAAGTTCACGTCTCCAACTCCAAATTCTTTCTCCTCTCAAGGTCAAGAAATAGCTGGTGCGGAATAAGGAAAGGGGCCCATGAGGACTCAGGGCTTTATCCTAATCCCCTTTGCCTCTCCTTCTTCCTCCTCGCTTTCCTCTCTTGCCTTCCTTCCTTCCTTCCCTTCCTTCCTCCCTTCCTTCCCTTCCTTCCTTCCTTCCTTCCTTCCTTCCTTCTTCCTTCCTCCTCCTCCTCCCTTCTTCCTCCCTTCCTTCTTCCTTCCCTTCCCTTCCTCCTTCCTTCCTTCCTTCCTTCCTTCCTTCTTCCTTCCTTCCTTCCTTCCCTACCCTCCCTCACTTCTTCTCCTTCTCCTTCTTCCTCTCTTTCTTCCTTCTTCTTCCTTCCTCCTTCCTCTTCCTTCTTCTCTCTTCCTATCCTTCTTCTCCTCTTCTTCTTTCCCTTCTCCCTTTCCTTCCTCTTCTTCTCCTTCTTCTTCCTTCCCTTCAACTATCCTTCCCATCCCTTCTCTCCTCTCCTTCTTCCTTCCTTCCTTCTCTTTTTTTCTTCTTGCGTTCTTTTTCCTAATACGCAAATTTTGATAACACCAGAAGTGTTAACCTTTGCCCTTTGGGTTAAAGGAGCTGGCAGGAGTGGAGGAAGGGAAGGAGGTAGCATCTGCCATCGAGGAAAAGCTGCCACTGGGGCTGGGGACTCTTTGCTCTTTTGCTGCTAATGAAGATGGATGTGCTGTCCTGCTGCGACCCACTCCCACTTAGACTGAGTTAATTTTCTGTGGAGTAACTCACTGGCTCTCGGGGTGGCGGGTGGGGTGCAAACTGCTGGAAGGAGATTCTATCCAGCCAGCTGCTCTGGGCTGCGCCTGGGGGTTCCAGGAGCCCTTTCTCGGAGACATCTGCTCTCTGCTCTCTACCCAGATGTGCCCATTTCTGCAGCTGTCTGTGTCCCTTCTTGCAAAGCTCAGCCCCGTTCAAACGCTCCACGTGGTTTGAAAAGGACAGACTGGAGGGGAGCCGGGCAGTGCGGCCCAGAGCAGGTGGCCAGAATGAACACGCAGTCCCTGCAGTTGAAGGGATGCGTGCCCAGCACGAAGCCGGGCATGCCACAGCCCTCAAGTGTTGCTGGCTGGGAGACAGAACAGAGAGGCCCTCTGCATTGTAAGGAAGTACTTTTCAGGAAAGCTGCTCAGCCATCAGGAGGCGCCTGATTCCTGGACGGATTTAAGCGGAAGTTAGTGATGATACGCTAGGAATACTGCGGGGAGAATCTAGTCAATGATGGGGTTCGGGGCCCATCCTTTGTTAATGTATCTCCTGGACATACAAAGAGAAGTATTCACGGGCATCTCTCCGCACGATTTTTGTCCCAAATAGCTTTGATGTGAGTAAAGGGATGAACACTCTGAGACCATCATACATTCTTTTTTTTTTTTTAAATGACTTTTAGTTTTCTCACTTCTTGCTACCTCATCCTCAAATAGACCGTCTGGTCTCTAAGACAATAAGAGAAGAGGGCCTCTGGGAGTTTCTCTGGTTTGTGTCTTGCAGCCCTCAGACACATGCTGTGTGACCAAGAACCTCCTGGCGTTCTATGTGGACAGGGTGTTCAAGGATCACCGGGAGCCAAACCCCCGAATCTTGAGAAAAATCAGCAGCATTGCCAACGCTTTCCTGTACATGCAGAGAACCCTGCGGCGCTGTGTGAGTCACCGCGTCCTGATCCCGAGCACCTGTGCCCCGTCTGCCCCAGGCAGAGCCCTGGAGGTGCTGGCCCCGACCGCCCTTCCTCGATGGTGGCCAGAGTCATCCAGATCCGCAGGGAGAACCGTCCAGAACTTCTCCCGGTGGTCACTGCTTCTCCAGGGCTTCCTGCCTGCTCAGCTGAGCAGACAGGGTTTCCTCGTGGATAATCCTCCCGAGGTGACCAGCCTGTGGCAAAGTACTCCTTACGCGAGAGAGGCGAGCCAAGCAGTCCAGCCTCATAGTTGTACCCCCGGCGTCTTTGCTTCTGGCCCTTTGGGGTTTCCATACCAGTTAACCTCTGGGTTGTTCCTTGGTGCAGCCTAACCCTAAGCATCACCCATAAATTCATTGTGATCTATTAACCCTTTGCACTCGGATGTCGAGTGTGACTCGACACGGTTAGCAAACATTATAGAGATCAAAATTACTCTTTGAATGTATCAATAATTCGAAATATAAAAAAATCCAAATGAATAAGTTTGTATGAAAAGAAACTCGGTTTTTTTTTTTTTTTTTTGAGACAGAGTCTCGCTTTGTTGCCCAGGCCCTAGAGTGAGTGGCCATGGCATCAGCCTAGCCTCACAGCCAACCTCCAACTCCTGGGCTCGAGTGATCCTTCTGCCTCTCAGCCTCTCCCGGGTAGCTGGGACTACAGGCATGCGCCACCATGCCCGGCTAATTTTTTATATATATATCACATTGGCCACAATTAATTTCTTTCATTTATAGTAGAGACAGGGTCTCGCTCTTGCTCAGGCTGGTTTTGAACCTCCTGACCTTGAGCAATCCCGCCCGCCTCGGCCTCCCAAGAGCTAGGATTACAGGCGTGAGCCACAGCGCCCGGCCGAAACTCCGGTTTTTTATTCGACTGCCACGCTCTGTAAAATCTGGGGTATTTAAAAAAAATTAAACCCCAAGTGGAATAAAGGAATCAAGAAAAAAAGCAAGCGAGTGCAAAGGGTTAAAATCAACATCACAAACAAAACCATAACAAACCAACGAGGTTCTAGCCATATTCCTGCTAATGATTTCCTGCTAGTGACTTTTTGGCAAGAGACTTCACCTCTCTGTGCCTCAGATTCTAAAATTGTTAGAAGGGGTAGCGACCCCCGTCCTGCTTACATTAATACGATAACGGAATCACGTGGATTCACTTAACCAATTATTTAAGCAATTAACCCAGCAAGTGTATATCGAGTACCTATATGGGGGGGTGTGCACATTCACAGGGTGGTGACCAGGTAGACTGGACACAGTGCTTGCTCTCCTGGCGCTGGCAGTCTGGTGGGCTCGAATCCAGAAGAAGCCACAGCCGTGGTCAAATGCAGGTGACTCTGCAAACAGGCCCTGTTCTCCCCTGGCTGCTGTCCCTTGAGTTGACTCGCCTGGCTCTCATTGGGAAAGCAAGGAGAAGTGTCACTTCTCGTGGTGGTGGTGGAGGGGGGCGCTGGGCAGTCAGAGCATGCCAGGGTGGACATGTCTTTTGATGGGAGCTGCCTCTGCTTTATCACAGCAGGAGCAGAGGCGGTGTCACTGCAGGCAGGAAGCCACCAATGCCACCAGAATCGTTCACGACAACTATGATCAGGTGAGTTCTGGGCAGAGGACGGGGAAGATGGAAGATGAGCAGGAGAAGCGCCTGAGTGAGAGAGTGCCAAGCCTTGAGCCTCCTCTCTGCTCAAATTCATTCATTCACTCCACAAGTGTACTTGTGGGCTTTCCCAGTCCTACGTGTCTGCAAAGCGTGCGTTGGTCCTACCTCGTTTGCCAGTTGCCTGGGAGCTCCACTTCTCCGTCCTCCCTCCGCTGTCCTCTTATAGCCTCAGTGACAGGCCTGACCTGTGTAACAGTGTGGAGAAAGCACATGCAGTGTAAGACGAGGGTGGGAGCTAAGATCCGCCGTGAATGGTGAGCCGCTACGCATGAAACAGGTTACCTGCGTGGCGACTGGCGGTCGGTACCTGCCATCAGCACGGTGCCGCGTGGTGAGGAAGGCGCAGTGCTTCTCCTGCAGATGCCAATGTGGGCTGGAGCGCGCATCTCGTGCACTAGATGGGCAAACAGCGCTTCTCATGCGCATCACTGGAAGATCTTGCTAAATGCAGATTCTGGTTCAGCAGGGCTGGGGCGACACCTGAGTTTCTGCATTTAGACCACACTCCCAAATGATGCCAACCCTCTGACCAGCAAGGAGGTGGAGCGTCTGTTCAGAGCTCTGCTTCTTTGTGGAGAGGCTCTATAGGATAGTGTTATAGAAATGGCTAAAAGCCATACGATTCCTACTGTGAGCCAGGTATTGTTCTAAGCGCACTACGAGTATCAACACATCTGTCCTTTTCAACAATGCCGAGTCATTATCTGCATTGGATAAATGCAGAAACCGAGGCACAGGCAGGTTAAGCAACTTAAGTTCCTGCTGCGATCACGTGGTGGAGGTAGGATTTGATCACACGCTGCCTGGCTCTGCAGGACCTGCTCTTAGATCTTACCACCTCCTTTAAGTCTGCCGAAGGAAGTGAAATCAGTCGGGAGACTTGGGTTCTAGTTCCAGCTCTGTTAACTAATTGGCTGTGTGACACTGCAGGGGACACTTATCTTTTAATATGTCAAATGGGGACAACATACTCTCCCCACCCACGGCACAGCAGCACCACAGGGATTAAGACTTTCTTTTTTTGAGACAGAATCTCACTCGGTTGCCCGGGCTAGAGTGCCGTGGCATCAGCCTAGCTCACGGCAACCTCAAACTCCTGGGCTCAAGCAATTCTCCTGCCTCAGCCTCCCGAGTAGCTGGGACTACAGGCATGTGCCACCATGCTCGGCTTTTTCATCTATATATTTTCAGTTGTCCAGCTAATTTCTTTCTATTTTTAGTAGAGACGGCATCTCCATCTTGCTCAGGCTGGTCTCGAACTCCTGAGCTCAAACGATCCTCCCACCTCAGCCTCCCAGAGTGCTAGGATTACAGGTGTGAGCCACCTCGCCCAGCAGGGATTAGGACTTCCTGGGAGCACAGCAGTGCTAACACGAGCCAATGTGCAAAAGCAAATGAGCAGAACTGGCCAGGAAGGCAGATTTTTCCCGTGAAAAAGAAGGGGGTTGGGGGGGGAAGAAAAAACCAGAGGGACAAAGAAGGAAGCATTTTTTAAATTTTATTTTATTAATAAGGAACTGACATGATTTAACTGCTTATTTGTGGGGGGAAATTTGGTTGCCTGTCTGGAACGTAATTTTGAGTCTGTATGCTATGCAAATCTATGTGATGAGTAAAAAGAAGACCTTGTGGGGCCCTGCTCATGGGGAAAGTGAGTTGAAAACTGCGGCACAGTCTAGGGAGGTCGGTTCTCACGACGCTTTCGCTGGTTTCAGCTGGAGATCCGCTCCGCCGCCGTGAAGTCCCTGGGAGAGCTCGACGTCTTCCTGGCCTGGATTGACAAGCACCATCAAGACACTTCGGCTGCTTGATGACACGGCACCTGTCTCATAATCCAGGGATGACCTCCCCCCTGTGCGGTCATTCTCGGGGACACAGCCTGCTTTGAAGGGGAGGGAAACGGGGAAGGCTCCGGTGTTTATCCGGACGAGAAACCTCTCTGTGGATTTGGGATTCCTTCCCCTGGGCCTGGGGGTGGGGGTGGGATCCGGGTCTGAGCACCTCTCACCCTGCACCTGCAAGTCTCCCTGGCTGGCCTCAGGCTGCCTGAACCCACCGGAACACAGCCGAATAGTCCACCGCTGTATTTATGATAACGTAAGACTGTTGAAAGGCCCTGTACGCCGTCCTGGAAGGAAAGGGTCTGCTCCCCGCTAATTTATTGTGAAATTGTGTGTCCCACGTCTGTGACCCGAGGGAGTGATATCCTGTAGGACACATCGTACGGACCGATGTTCTTGAATAAACTTTGCACTTTGCCTGCGAGTGGAAGCATCTTCTGATTCAGGAAGAGTCGGTCGAGGAATCATAGATGGAGACTCAGGAAAGGGGCCTTTAAAAACATAATAGATGGGGAAGCTAAGGCGTAGAGGGGACCAAGAACATAACCTGGGCTCCCAAAAAAGCAAGTTAGTGCGGAAAGGGTTCCAGACTGGGGTCTCCAAATTCCCCAGCCTGCACCCTTTCCTGATCAGGAAGGGACGGAGGGCCTCCGCCCATTGACTCCCTCTTGACGTTGCTCCATTTCTGATCTCCTTTCTCTGTGTCTGTCTCTCTCTCTGTCTCTGATTTTTCTCTATTTGTCTCCCTCTGTTCTTTCTTTCTTACCGCTTCCTTCCCAACCTAGAGATGTCTCCCCTGACCCCAATCCATTCTCCACGGTGTATGCATCGGGCTGGGAATTCAGGGTGTTCGGACAGAAGGATGGTCCTCCTGGTGACAAAACTGAACAAAGTACAGTCCACGGGCAAGGGGTGCCCTGGCCCAGGCTACAGCGTGCAGAGGCCAAAATGGGCACCACCTTCTGGGTGCACACTCCACAGAGGATTCGGAGCACAAACACCTGTCTTTAATAGTGACAACAGCAAAAGACATTTTCTGAGCGTCTGTCCTGTGCCTGGTGCTGAGATAAGCTATTGCACTCATTATCATGGGTCAGTGTCCATTCTGTACCTGGACGGCTGAAGCGATCTTTCTTTATTGCTATCCGAGAAAGAGATTTTACAGCACACGCTTTCATGGAGAGAACAAGACCTCTGAAGTCAGGCAGAGATCAAACCCTACGTAACTTCGGACACAGTACTTAACGTCTCCAAGCGTCCTCTTCTGTAAAATGGAGATATTAGCACCGGTCTCAAAGGGTGGCTCTGGGCACCAGGTGAGGTGGAGGGTCTCCGGCAGGCTCAGCATGGCGGGGCACAGCAAGGGGCAGTGTCAAGATGGCCAACGTAGGGGACACATTTTGGTTCTAAGCCTTCTCCTGCCATGAATTGCCCAGAGAGCTCACTAAATATCTTTGGTCCCCAGTATACGCTGGTCATGCACACTGAACGTGGCAGGAAGACACATCGAAGGAGATGAGCTCACCCTCTCTCAACTTGACGGCATCTTACCTTAAACTCTCCGGTGTCTCTTGTCTGCTTCTCTATCTAGTCTGCCTGTCCTTTCTCTCTTTTCAGACTGGAGCATGAGCCAACTTTTTTTTAGTGCACAGTGGGCCTGGCACAGAGGTGTGTGTGTGTGTGTGTGTGTGTGTGTGTGTATTTCTTCACACAGCTGGTGCTTAAGAAATACCTGATAAGGGACCAAGTATAAAATTGTCCCCCAAGTCATATTTTCTGAGACCTCTCTCAGTCCCTGGTTGGTGCCCTCCAGGACTCTAGGGCTCACCTTAAACTGCTGCGGTGCAAGGGGAGGGAACCTGTCCCAGGTGCCAGGGCCATGCCAGGCACTTTACCTGAAGGACATCACTCTAACCGCAGGGGAGGTAGAGGAGGTTGGAGTTGTTACTCCCATGTGCCCGCCAGTAACACAGATAACCAAACCCAGATGCACAGAAGGGGCCCGGACTTATTAGCGACAAGCCTCTGAAGTTGCACACAAATTTATGGACCAAGACAGAGCAAAGGAGCAGAGGCTGGCTTCTGAGTGTGTCACACGGCGTTCCTGGCCCAGCTGAGGCCTGGGCTCCACGTGGGGCTGCTCTGCTCCCCTTCCATCTTCCAGAGCAAGTTGCAGAAGCCACAGATGCCTGGGGCTGCTGTCTTTTAGAATCAAGGGCTTGCCTAGAAGTTTGGCCAAGTGGGTAAGAGAATAGATTTTGTGTAAAATCTTGGCTTAACTTCCTGAGAACCACTGCCCCGCTCCCAGGGCAGGAAGCAGCCTTCCTCCAGCCCCTGGCTGTCTACCCTCAGGCCCATTTTTGCACCTTGGGACCCAGAGAGGTCTTCCAGTTCTTGACAAATCAGACACATTTCAGCATCCACTTCCCCTCTGCAGGATCTGAGCAACTGAGGACGCAGCTACTTTGCGAATGGCGACACTCGGTAAATAAATGTTTGTTGAATGCATGCATTCATGCATGTATGCGTGAAGCAAAGGCAACCCCACTGTGTAGGCAGTGCCCTCTGGGAGGAAGCCTGTGGCTTTGTCTTTGGCTTTGGGGATCTCTTAGGCTTGTTCTTATCCTCTATTTGGATCCTCTGCCTCTTGTTCTGTGTCCCTGGTTTCTAGCTTCACAGCAAGGAGTCGGCTTTCTGTCTGGTCTGCTTGGCTTTGGTTTCAGTTTTGCTCCTGATGGTTGTCTTATGGTCCTTAACTTCTCACCCTGAAGCCTGGAGATCAGTGCCTCCCACCCGGTTTCTGGGCTGGCCAGGGCTCTGGGTGTCTTGCTGGCCTGGGAGTGATGCAGTCCCACGTGTGCAGGCTAGGGGGCGCCATCTGCTCCGACAAGGCCAGCAGCAGCAGCAGCAGCAGCTTCCCACATGGGCAGGGGGTCTTGGCTCTTTCAGGGCAGCAGCCCCACGAGTGGGGAGAAAGAACCCAAGAAGTACTGACTTCACCTCCTCTTCCTCCCCTCCTCAAGGCCTCCAAAACATCTCCTACACCTCAGCCCAAGAAGAGCAAGGTGCAACTCTAGATGAGATGCCCCTAAGGCAGAGAGCAGATGGTGTCCTTTTGGTAGTCCCTGGGGTGGTCTTGTTGCGACCAGCAGGTGGCTAGAAACCGTGTCCAAGGTGAACGTTGTTGGATGCTAGAAAGCTCAGTCTCTCTGCGGGGAACCAGTGAATGGAAAAGTGCTTTGAATCAAGCTAGGGAAACGCATCAATAAGCACGTCTGCTGAGCTGCTGTGGTGTGTGTGATGTGATCTAGATTCGGAGTAGGAATCTAGATCTCCTGTTTACCAGAGGAAAACCGTCACTGATTCTTAGAAAGTCTCAGAGTGTGATTCAGGTCGATGGTCACCGTTCATTGCCATCTGGCCCTATTATGACCTTCATCATCCCGCCATACCCCACCCAACACCCACCGGGCCACCATCTCTCAGGTACAGGGGGCAGAAGTGCTCTCTGGTCTCAGGGAATTTTGCTCCAACTTTTCTTGCTGGAAAGAGTAAGGGAACTTCTGACTTTGCCACAGTCTCTCCATCCCCCCAGAGCTCACAAAACCACCAGGCCAGCAAAGCCTTGCTCAAACCAGACCTTCCCCAAGACCCCCTCCTGGATACTGTCCTTGTCCCTCAGAAGTAATCTCCATGCTCCCATCCGAGCCATGCAAATGCCTATGATGAACACAGACTCTGAGTTTTCCTAGGGAAGTCCTGATAACAAAAATCTCTCCCGTTGCCCTAAATAGCCTCATTCTTCTCAGACCACTTGTCGCAACTGGCAGGCGTGGTCACCATCCCCACCAGCCTTTGTTCGCCCATTATAGCAAAGGTTCTTAACCTTTCGTGTGCTGCAGACTCCTTTGGCATGCCAGCGAAGCTGATGAAATCCACTCAGAATAATGTTTCTAAATGCATAAAATAAAAGAAATGGGATTACAAAAGAAACCAATAATATTAAACTATAGCTATCAAAATATGGCAATAGGAAGTAGGTAATATGGAATGTGGCTCTTTATCAATGCATTAATTAATATGATCTGGCAGTAGGCATACAAACTACTGATATTTCTAACAAGTGATGAGTATAAGTGATATTTTGAGATACCTGAAACCGCTGTAATGTGATGCAAAAATATTTGAGATTTCCATCGGTGACAAAGTCATGGGTAGTGCTAATACTATTGTGGTTTGTATTTGTTGCCTATCTTCATACTTGAAGGAAATGCTCAATTTTGATTAGAGGTTATAAAAAAAAAAAGGTGTAATTTCTTCCCATCTACCTTGTCTGAGGTTAAGAACTCTTGCAGTAGAGAGAGGGTCTGTCCCCTTCACGATGCTATAAGTCCCATGGTTGTTGTTGGTGGTGGGGTGTCCCAAAAGACCATGTCTTTTCCACTCTGGTAGCATTTAGGTCAGTTCTGCCAGTGCCCACACATGGAGATTCTCCATGCTTGTTTGTGAAATTGAAGGGAAAAGAATTGAGTATATTCCTATTCTTCTAGGTGAGGAAGCTGTTAATTCAAGGCCAGTGTCCAGAGTTCTGCTCCTGACTCCAATTCCAGGCAGGATCTTTCCAGTGCCTCCCACTCTGCGGGCAGGGAGCGGGAGGAGTCAGCCAACGCTGGGGACCCAGCTATGTCAGAGGAAGTCTCAGCAGAAAGGAGGGAAACAAGTTGAGCTGGTTAAACACAGCGTGATGGAAAAACGCAGGAAAGGGAAATGACGTCAGTCATTCATGCCGGCAGCTCTGAGGACAGGGAACTGAAAATGTATGTTTCTGGTAGTCAGCGGCTCTGCCCACCCCACCCTGCCCGTCTCCTGGGAAGGCAGCAGGGGCTGCTGGCGGGGCAAAGCTCCCAGCACTGCTGGCCCTGGAGTGGCGAGAGGTCCTCTACCTGCCCACCTGGTGAGCTGAGGTTCCTCCTCCAGCAGTCCCTGGAGGCCCGCGTGATTCTCTGCAAAGTGATGCAACTGGGCAGGAAGCTCAGATGTCAGCGAATGTGACGTCGTAGACAGGGAAAACCCTGAGCTGCAAAGTCAGGACTTGCCATGGGAAAAAAGGAGCGGCTGGGTTTCCTTCTTGGTGTCTAGAAAATCGTTCCCTGCCCAAAAATGGCTTGGTTAGGAGGCTGAGTTTGTTTCATAAGAAAGGATTCTCCTTCTCTTCCCTCTGCCCAGCTCATCTGTATGATTACACTGGCACTGGTTAGATGCTGACCCCCAGTGTTGGAACCCCACTTTCTCAGGTTGGCGTGATGTGCCCATGAAGTGCACCCATGGCTGCTCCACCACGGCTGCCCCTCCCCCCCCCATTTATTCCATCTGGGTGCTAACAATGTAAAGACACTTCAGTGGATGGCTGCCCTGTTGCCTCAAGGGGGAAAACAAAGAATCAAGATAGCCAAGTCGAAAGGGACTTAAGGAATCATTCAATTTATTTCCCCATGACTGATTTATTGATGAGGAAGGGAGGGGCTGTTCCCAAGACCACACAGTGAGTGAAGGTAAGGCTAGAGCTAGAACTTAGGTTTCTAGACTCCCAGTCCAAATGCACATTCCTTGGCATGATGTCCTTGGTCTTTGATGTTGTAGCCATATTCCCAACTTGATGCCCACACTGCTCATCTACACGAAACCCAGCTCCAGGCAAGCGAATCCATGGCCAGTCCTCAAGTACACTGTGGGCTTTGCCGCCCAGCTCATGTCCATGCTGAGTGCCCTTTGTCTGACCTCGCCCTCCCCCACCCCTCCCCAGCACCTCTGCCCATTTACATTTTGCCCACCCCTCAAGGCTCAGCTCAAACTTTCCTCTATGTGCTAGCTCCCTCCTCTGTGCCCTCGGCACTTAGTTCCTGCCCACTCGGTAGTGCTGGCATTCTTGGTTCTGCTGCAAGCACACCCCTCGGCCCCCCAACAAGGCTGTCGGCAACTGGGGGCCGGAGATCCAACTGGGGCGTCTCTGTAATCCTCACAGCATTCAGCACACTGCCTTGTGCAGAGTTGGCATTTAATAAATGGTTATTGAAAGAATGTCTTTTAAAATCGATTCTATCAGCTCTAAGGAATGATAAAAATGACTTTATGTATCTAAAGGTTTATATAAATATGTATATATATATCCCTCCTGCCAACTCAGTGAGCTATACAGGCAAGGTAGGTGTTATCTTTATTTTATGGATGAAACAGTGAATACCTGAAAGGTATAAGAACTCGTCTTGGGGTCACCAAAGGTCTCCCTGAAAGCTGGTGAGAAAGTGAGTATTAGAACTGGCTGTCAGTTCCATGTGATCTGCTGTGTTAACATCCTCTACCTTCTTTCCATTGAAGACTCGTTTCTTCTGCCAGAATTGCAAGGAAGGAAAAGCTTCTTCCTCAGCCTAATTTCTAAGGTAAGCATTTACCATAGAAGAGGAGTTCATAATGGGTTACGAGTACCGTGCAGGGGCGTGAGCACTGAATTCAACTTCTGGGTCTGCCTTGCCCCAGCTGAGTGACCTCGGGCAAGTTTCTTAGCCTCTCTGGACTGTAGTTTCCTCATTTATAAAATGAGGGAACTGGACTAGATGTACTTAAAGTCGCTTCCAGCTCTAACAGCCCAGGAGGAATAGCTATCACTAGATAAGGAGGTTCTTGCCATCGGGATATAATTCTTCAACCTAGACGATCTGTGGACCCTCCAGGTCCTACCAGAGAAGAGATGTGGGAGGGGACCTCATGGGTCCCCTCGTAAGTGAAATCATGGAGCTTATGCTTCAGGACACGGCATAACAGGGAAACAATAATGAACCAACATGTCCATTCAATAGTCATCAGGTATTAACTGAGCACCTGGAAGGAGCCATTAGGAGCTGAGACCAAGGAGATGAACAAGTAGCTCTCGGGCTAGGGAGAGACAGAGATATGTAACCAAAAATGTGTAATTGGCTGTGATGTGCACAAAAGAGGATACACAAGGTCAAGCTGAGGTGCAAAGGTGGAGGGAGGTTAGGGTGAAGCAGGGACAGTTTAGGAGAGGAGATGAGTTGACCTGGTTCTGCACAGAGTGTGATATGGGATCTAGTCAGTGGATTTATCTGCGCAGTGTGATATGGGATCTAGTCAGTGGATTTTAAAAGAACAAAGTATTTTCACACAGGAGAAGGGGAGATGATTATTGAAAGTAAAATTGGGATTGCATGTGAATAACTTAAGTTTAGTTAATCACGACAGGTAGATTAAAACAAAGCAATTGGGTTCTTCTTGGCTAACGGAAAAGAATTGACTGGTGGGGGTATATATCCTATATAAGCCTAGATTTACTGAAAATCTTGACTTCAAGTACTCCTGTCAGACCACATTTCCCAATTTTACTTTAATCATACCTATAAATGATCACGAGAAATGGGTTAGTTCGCACCAATGATGGGAAAAACAGGCATGAGCTTAAATAGTTTAAGAGAGATCAGATATTTGCGCATGTTTTTGACATTTATAAAGCATTACAATGAAAAGTCATGGTCTTTGTTTTCAGAAAACTCTGGGGAAACATTGAAAAGAGCATCCTGATCCAAAAGATAGAAAAGCATCAAAGAATCGTAGAATGTTGGGGCTGGAAAGGTCCTTATGTGTAATCTACTCTGTTTCATTCATTTTATGTATTCATAAACTGAGATCCAGAAAGATGAAATCGTATGCCAAAGTCATCCTACAAACCGTGGAATCTTTGGACTCAAATATAAGACTTCAGAGTTTTAGATACTGATTAGGAAAAAAGCCAGAAAGGAACGTATTATAGTCTCTACCGTCTTGACAGTTTTCAAAGCATTGTCTGTAACGCATCTCAGGCTCTTTGAATTTAATCTTGTCAGGAAGTGTGGTCCTACATGATGGACTAGTCCCTGCCTAAAAGAATCTTCTAGTGCCATTAGGGACAAAAGGCTAAGGTCTATGAAACAGAGGACAACATTACATGCTCTCACTTGCCAAAGAAAAATCAGCTATTGGAAGTCAGAGAAGGAAGGGGCTGATGTCACCCAGAGTGGTTCAGGAATAAAAGCTTTGGTTCTCCTCTCTGATGATGAATGGAAGGATTTGGACAAGTTGGGGAGCAATGGTGGGGATAGAAAAAGCAAAGGGGAGACAGCAGGAATGAGCCCATAGTGGCTGGGATTGGGGAGAAACTGGGTTAGGGAGAGCTGGATTTAGAGGAGAGGGCAAAGCACTCCCTGGAATTCTCTTTCAGTCCTGTAATTCAGATATTCTCTGTCCTAACTATCACTTTACCAAGCAGGAAGGTGGAGCCAGAAGTAAGCACATCCTTTATCCACAGTTACAACCAGTAATCCCCTTGGGCAGTGCTTCTTGGAGGAGGAAGGTGTCGGGATAATCCAGGCTGCAATTGGGCTGCTTTAGGACTTGAGGAAGTGCCATGCCAAGAGAGAAATTCCAAGGGAGTTCCAGCCCTCACCTGCCCAAGCTCACTTCCTTCCTGTGACATACACATGCGTGCATATAAATAACTGGAAGCCTTTCAGCTTGAGACAGACTCCTAGGAGACCAGAGGCAGCAGCCCTTCTGATCACAGGTAAGTGACCCTCCCCTCTTCTGACACTGCTCGCATTGTTCCGGGATCAGCCCTCTCGGTCATTTACCCGGGCATGTTCAGGGCCATGTCTAAAGGAGCCTTTCCCATGAGGACAAGGACTTGTCATGTTTGTCTTTGTGCTTTGGTACCAGAACCACATTCAGGACCATGCAGCTCAATAGATGCTGATCGAATTGCTGAACTTCAGGTAGATTTACTATATACTCACTTACTATATGATCAAGGCAGCTAACATCAACTACGACTTGAACTGATCGTACGCTGCGTGCTAGGTGTATAAATTACACATTATTTTATTCAAATGTCAAAACAAGTTTCTGAGGTCAGTTTAATTATTACCATTTTGGGGGCTAAGAAAATGAAGCTCAGAGAGGTGAGTTGACTTGTCCAAAGTCACATAGATGTAGGGTGACCAACTCATTCCTGTTTACCCGTGACTTTTTTGCAGTTTTAAAACTGAAATTCCTGGTATCTCAGGAACCCCCCTCAGTCCTGGGTAAACTGGAACCATCTACATAGCTGGGAACTGGATTTGCTTGGACTCAGTTCTCTTCTCTAAATCCAGAGTTCTGTCTGATACTTTTGTGTTTGGTGTGTTCATTCCCTTCTCCTACATTTGGCAGTATCTCTGGTGGCCATGGATGTACAAAATGTCTATCATATTGCCTGGCACATAGGAAAAATTCAGTAAGTGATAATGATTATCAGTGCTGTGCCAAGCCATGGATCCCAGATGTACATCCATACACATACACATATATCTTTATGTATTTTATGTGTGTTATTTTTTCCCAAGATATTAAAGTAGTTGAAAAAAATTGAAAAAATTACATAGTAGGTTTATTATAACTCACATTATTTTAAGTTTAAATAGTTAACTTATGTCCCCAAACAAAATTTATAATACATTCACTTTTCTGGCTTTAAGGGAAGAAAACTCGTCAATAATATTTTCATCATATGCTTTTGAGAAAAAAGTTAACCATTAAAAATACATGAAAATATATGCATGGCGGCAACGTATTTTTCCTTTCGCTCCTATATAAATGGCTCAGCACAGCACTCTCAAATTCTGTCTTTATTTCAAATTTCGATATTTTGCTCACCGTGAATTTTGTTTTCATTCATTTTGATCTTGCATTAAAATAGTCTTTATCTTGATGACTGAGCATTTTGGCACCGCCCCCTCCCCCCTTAAATTTTGTGCCCAAGGTGAGCCCCTTAATCTATCTTACCCTAACCCGGGCCCATTGTCATTTGATCTTAAAACTAAGCAGACACCATAAACTGCTCGCTTACTGAGCAGCCTCACCCAAGAAGAAATGAATTCCTTCCCTTTCTTCTCTGCCTTTTGGGATCACTCCATCTTTTGAGTTGCAGGGCAGGAAAGAGCGTGCTCTTGAATTCACCCCAGGAGTGCCTGACTACAGTCTTCCTGCAGAGGGCGCTGTGCATGCCCAGGTGCCTCAGTAGGAAGCTGTGTTAGGTAGCATCCGGCTGGTTGCCCATCAGGTCTTGCCTGTCCCTGGCAGTGGGGTTGTGATGAAATCATTGACTCTTTCTTTGCCTCCAGGGCTACAATGCATCTATTAATATTATCCTTAAATAACCTATCTGATCCCAGACAAACGCCAAACAGAGCTCAGCTCCTCTGCTCTGTAGGTGGCCATAAAACCCAGACAATTTTCCCCAGGTGTTTTTGATGGCACGGCCACAACTTCTGTGAGATTCTGTTTTCCCCGGTTCCCCCACAGGTCTCGTGGAACCAGAAGGGTGAGCCGCATACGCATTCTGGAAGGGAAGGCTATGCGCGTCAATTCCCTAAAATGTGCATTAATCTTTTCCCCAAAACGCCATCCTCTACTCACTGCAAGTTCCCGGTGTCCTGGGTCTTATCTGCTGGGCAGTGATGGTGGAGCTGGGATGGGGGCAGAACAAAAGAACCCCGACCCGTAGCACCAGCTCGCACTCAGAGCCTGAACGGCGCCTGAAGGCTTCCCTTCACGGAGGCTCGGCAGTTTTGCTTAGTAAGTTGCACGGATGGGCCACGCTGTTTGCAGGCAGATAAGGCTGTTCCGTTTCCCCTCAGTGGACACCTGGGGAAGGCACGCCCCTGGCGGCTGGATTGGCTTCTGATGCATCGGATGGAGACATCAGTAAGTCACGCTCTTTCCTTTGAATCCCCAGCTCCTGCCGTCTCCAGATTCCAGGCGTAAGATGAAAGGCTCGGGTCTGGCATTCAGCCTTCTGTCTGCTATGTTTTACCTCCTCTGGACTCCTTCTACCGGGCTGAAGACTCTTCATTTGGGAAGCTGTGTGATCACCACCAACCTTCAGGAAATACAAAGTGGATTTTCTGCAATACGGGACAGTGTGGTAGGTACGGGGACAGTCAACTCTCCCGGGTCCCTCTCCTCTTCCCTCCTTGTCTGGCTCTCTCTTCCCTGGGAGTGTGATCATGAGAAAAGGCAGGCGGAGGACTACTCACCAGGAGGATGCATTTCCAAGAAGTATCTGTGGTTCTTGATATAAACCTGTTTTGGGAAGGGTCGCCTCCCACTGGGCCTTGGCAGGGAGGGGACATGAGATCTTGCTGTCTGAGACCCCGGCAGCAGTCACTGACCCATCCTTTCTCGCTTTGTCTGCTTCTGTTTAGCAAGCCAGAGATGGAAACATTGACACGAGGATCTTAAGGAGGATGGGGTCTTTGCAAGACACAAAGGTATTGTGCTTGGCTCAGGCAAGCTCCTCCACGACCCTGGTCTCGTCTCTGTCCTCCCCCCGCCCCTCACCAGCACACCTGTCTCCTTTGCAGCCTGCAGATCGGTGCTGCCTCCTCCGTCATTTGCTGAGGCTCTATCTGGACAGGGTATTTAAAAACTACCAGACCTCCGACCACCACACCCTCCGGAAGATCAGCAGTCTCGCCAATGCCTTCCTCGCCATCAAGAAGGACCTCCGGCTCTGTGTGAGTGAGGGTCTTGGTAACAGGATCCGTCTTAGTCCATAGTTTCAATGATCTAGCAGCCAAGCTCTCTTTCCTGCCCCCATTTAATGGATGGAGAAACTGAGTCCAAAAGTTCTAATAATCTATGTCAAGCTGTGTCACTAGGTAATAACTCAGTTTTATTGACTTTTGAGTATATGCTCTATGGAAAAAGTGTTTTGTGAAGTCTAAAGAACTACAAAAATGATAGCTATTTGATATAATGACAATTCTCTATTATTCTTGAAGTTACACTTTTTCTGTAGATGCCGTATCTTAGAGGTACTAGTGCATCCTGTGTCTAGGCAGCCAATCAACAGGCCATTGGGTTTGCTCTCAGAATATGATCTGAATAGGACCTAGGAATTCAATGTTCTGTTTCCCAGGGGGCTCAGAGGAGCTCTGGGATGGAGCTCCCAGCCTAGAGCTGGGGGAGGCAGGTGGCCAGATAGGGTACTGTCATTGCAGATTCCTTCAGCACTACTGCCTGCCAGTTTCTAAAAAGGAACAGTGAGCTCCATATTTGAGCCTAAAAAGATGGCTTCCAGGCCAGGCGCGGTGGCTCACACCTGTAATCCTAGCACTCTGGGAGGCCAAGGAGGGAGGATCACTTGAGGTCAGGAGTTCGAGACCAGCTGGAGCAAGAGTGAGACCCCGTCTCTACTAAAAAAAATAAAAATAAACAACAACAGCAACAACAACAAAAAACTGGCTTCCTCTTCCAGCTGACGATTAGTTTAATAATCCCAAATGATGAGACCCGAAAGAACTTTTCTATAGGAACAAATATCTACGGGGATGTGGGTGAAAGAGTAGAATTCCCACCTGCTGCATGTCAACAGCAAGGGCAGAAAATGGGAGTCTTTAATAAAATCTCTCATTGTTTTGGTTCTTTTCAGCATGCCCACGTGACCTGCCATTGTGGGGAGGATGCAACGAAAAAGTACAGCCGTATTCTGAGTCACTTCGAAGAGGTAGGTGCAATTTTGGCATGGGTGGGGATGGGTGTGTTTTCAGAACTGAGATCACTGATGAGCAGGGTGGACATTCATGCTGGTAGAAATCCTGTAGCCCCCAGGCTAATAACCCTCTGAGGTCCTGGGACCATCCCTTGCTTTAACGCATGGGACACTCATCCAGGCTCTCGAAGAGTGCCCTGTCTAAATGATGCTCCGGAAATGGTCAGAAAAGTCACCCCAGAGACGGTGCCATCTCCCAGCTGCACGAAGGAGGGGCAATAGTGTCCCAACGTTCACACATTTACACACACCCTCAAAAACACCCACAACTTCACACACACCCATGCCACGCCGTTTCTCACCTCGACACCTCTGCCAGCTGCCGGGAAGTCCTGCGCTTTACCCCTGCTCGTCCTTCCAGACAGCCGAGGCGTGGCCTCCGGGGAGGTGTTGGCTGCTTCTCCAGGAGTTAGGTGCCTCCCCCGTGGGGCCGTGGGGCTCTACGATGTATTCACTACGCTACATTTTAGCTGCCTGTTTCCCTCATTCAACTGTGAATTCCCTGGGGATGGGGGTTGTGGCATTCATCTCTGGATCTCCAGCCGCCAGTCCGATGCCTGGCACGATCAACATCTGTCTGGTTGAAGTACACGCAGTAGGCACCCCCTACACACACACACACACACACACACACACACACACACACACCTTTCCTAAAGAAAACAGCCTGGTTACTTTGATCTCTGTGATTCAAGAGGCTTAGGTTGTAGTCCCCATTCTCCTACCCTCCTGGGCCTCAGTTTCCACCTATAAGACTAGGTTGATGGGCTCAGCGATTTGCCCTTCTCATGTGAGGTCTTGAGGTTCTATCGTGTCTTGCAAGCTCCTCATCTGGGAAAGGATGCTCTGCTCACAATCCCCAGCAGACCTACAGGGAGAGAGAGGATCCACCCTGGAGCAGGTGTTGCCTCTTCGTGGGTTCTAACCGCACGAGTGTGTGTCTCTTTTGTAGCTCGAGCCTCAGGCGGCAGTGGTGAAGGCGTTGGGGGAACTAGACATTCTTCTGCGATGGATGGAGGAGACAGAATAGCACGGAAGCCATGCTGCTGCTGAGAGCACTCCAGGCCATGAGTCCCCGTCCTCCGTACCTGTGCAGGCACGGCCCACGCCACCATCTCTTTGCCCTAGCAACTTAGTGCTGGTCACAGTGTATCTTATTTATTATTTGTTTCCATATGTGGTTGTCTTTATGTGTCTCCAGTCTTAATTTAGACCACACTTTTATAAGATTTTCATAACATCTTTTCTACTGTTGGATGTATTTATTAGTTAATTATTTATTTTTCCTATTTAACTTATTTATTTTTGTACTTGAACATGAGACATAAAAAAAAAATTCACAGATTATATTTATAACCAGACTAGAGCAGGTGATGTATTTTTCTGCAGTCAACAAACCCTCTAAACTCTAGAAGAGTGGCAAGGGAGATTATTCATTTTGATTAAATTAAGGGCGTATTTACTCACCACCGATGCTCTGTGAGATATTTAAAGTTGAACCAACGGCTGCTTAGTTTGAGTCATGGAAGAAAGAAGTTCTGATGTGAAATTGCAGATCCGTCTTGCAATTACCGACCACCCCTGCTCAACTCCCCAAGCCCAGATTTGTGTATCTTCTAGCTATGGAATCCTGCACGCCCAGCATGTATTTCTATGAATAAAATTTTCTTTGCATAATTTTCTGCTTGGAGTTTGAAAATGCTTCATGAGCAGACACAATATAGAGGATGAGCTTGGATCTCATTTCACATAGGATCGTCTTGCTCCTCCGGGAAGGAAGATGCAAGTGAGAACCCGGGCCCTCTCTCTCCTGCAGAATTAGTCACCAGTTGTCTCTCTCATTATTCCTTTACAGCTCTGATCCCACAACTGCCCTCCACCTAAAGGGACTGTGACGAGGGAGGGGCTTTAGCCATTCTTTCTTTCCCTGCACTGTCTTCTCCATACCCCTGCTTTCTTTCTCACCATAAGAGTTTCCATACTCTTGCAACATGAATTACAATGGGCACAAGGCACTATTATAAAGGTTAAGAACACACAGGTGGTAAGTGCAGTTCTACAGCCTTGCCCAGGGAGGTGTACGAAGTCCATCCGGAAAGTATCCAGCCACTGTTAATATAATGAGAATGGTTTGCATGACATCCACGTAACCTGGCAACCAAGGCGAGTGGACTGGAATGCGCATGCGTGAACAATGACGCCTTCACCGTGCTGGTCGGTGGGGCGCTAGACCCCGTTGCGTGAGCGCGTGTACTGTGTGGCTGTAGCATTCAAAATAACGGAGCAAGTAGAGCATCAAATTTTGCATTAAGCTTGAACATTCCTCTGCAGAAACAGGATGATTCAGAAGGCTTTCTGGGACCATGCAACAAGTGCAGGGCAAATAAAAGAGTGGCACAAATACTTCAAAGGAGATCGATAGTCTCGAAAGTGATCCATGGTGTTAAAAACCTACAACGAGGAGAACACCTGCAAATGTTGAACTTGTACGGGCTGCAGAGGTCCTAAAGTGCCTACTTTGGAGGGGACTGAGGCGTGATTGTCTTGTGGACAATGTTTCTTGTCTCTTCCTCGATAAATGTCTCCATTTCTCGTATTACATGGCTGGGCACTTTCTGGACAGACCTCATGTTTGCCTTCCCTTGAGGCCCTCCCATTTCGAATTCTGCCCAGCCTCAGAGTTTAGTTTGTTGCTGGATCAAGTCTTTGTCTTTGTGTCCAACTATTAAGTCAGTGTTTTCCTTCTAGGCCCCCTTCACGTTGAGCTTCCCTGGACTCTGAGGAGCGAGAGATGTGGCCTGTCCTTAGCCTGGGTCCCTCCTTCCTCCCCCACCTCACTCTGAACTGCACCCCCAGCGTCATAATTAATTCCCCAAACTCAGGACACAGATTCCGGCTGATTCTTGCCTCCTAAAGGAAGCTCTCCTTACCTCCTAATTTCTGCTCCCTGTCCTTTGCCTGGGACCTGATACAGTTTTAATAACTTTAACTTTTAATAATTCTTATTATATAAGTAACAATTTCCCAATAAGGAAAATTAGGAAAATACAGAGAAACATCAAGAAGAAAATTAAAATCACCCACCATCTCACCACCCACAGATAACCACTTTTTAAACATTTTTTGGTGTATTTTTTCCAGATCTTTTTTGCTGGTTTCCAATTATGACTCAACCCTCATTACCTGAGTGGTTTGGGATGCAAAAAACATAACCTTATCAGAATTTCATTTCTTTCTCTTGAAAACAGGAGGATAATATCAACTTTTCCAGGTGTTGGAAGAGATGGTCTTTTGTGTTCTTCTGATTTGTTCTTTTGCTTTCTTACGTTCATACGTCCCATTGTTACTCATTTTCTATTAGATTTTTTTACCCCATATCACCCCTCTTGTATCAGATTTTCTAGTTGCATGTTCCCTAGTTCTTTCTGACCAGTTTGATGAACAACTTGGCTTCAACTCTCAAGGAATAGAGTTGAGAAGCCAACTGCATTGAACTCAGTGCTAAAATTAGAACCATAAAGTGGTGTTAGATGGCAAGGAGGAGATAGTTTTTATCTGCCAAGGATACGAGTTTCCCAGACTGTCATGTCTGAGGTTGACCCACAGAACTGAGGACAAAGCTCTTCCATTTGTTTCCTAGGAAGCAGTTTTCACCCTTCTGAAAGTCTGGACCATGAGAAGCCTTGGTCTTTTGGGGATTCCATGTTACCATGTTGCCATTAACTTGTCATCTCTTTGCCTGTGTATTCTACTTCCCTGCAGAACCCAACTTCTCCTCCTCCAAGTCGTTGGTCTCTTCTCTGTTTGACTTACCATAGTACTAACAATGGGAAAGTCAACAATGGAGAGGCCAAATCAGATTGGAAGTTAAGGGAAAACTTCATGTAGGTGGGGCCATTGAGGGCATATACTCAAGAACAGTTTATGATAGTGACTTACAAGTATAATATAATTAAAATGATTTTGTCAATTACTAAGTGTGTGCCAGGTACTGTCTTGGGCCCTTCACATATATTATACTATTTAAGCCTTAAAACAACCCTGTGAAGTAGGTAGTTTTATTACCCGTTTGCAAGTGACAATGTTTTCAGAGATGACAAATAATTTGTGTAAGGTTTTATAACTAATGGATGCCAGAACCAAGATTTGAATGTGGGTAGCCTGATCCCACAGACTGGGGGACAGTGGCATCCTGTGCTTGGAAACATAGTGGAAAGGAGTAATGAGATTTGACTTTCTAGAGATAGGAGTGAAAATCCTGACTCTGACCCTCACTGCCCCTGGACAAGTGACATAATCGTTCTCAGTTTCTTCATCTGCAGAGTGGGGATTATATTACTCACAACCCTGGATCCGTGTGAGGACTAAATGACATTGTAATTAACTAATTTGTACTAGCACTTATTATGCAAGTGTTCTAAATGTGTTGCAAGTATCTGCTCATTTAATTTGCACAAGAGCATGATGATATAGTGTTATTTTAATTCCCACTTTACAGATGAGGAAACTGAAGACCAGAGAGGCAAAGTGTCTTGTTCAAGTTTGCACAGCTACCAGTGATGGAGGTAAAATGTGAATGCAGGTAGACAGACTGGAGAACCATGTATTTAACTAGTTTACTTTGCTGGATGGGTGGGATGATCAGTACATAGAAAGCACTTGACCAACAGCATCTGTGGCTGTATCAGAGGAAGTTTGTGAGCCTTCCTGCCAAGCTGTAGCACTAACCATTCACTTCCTGGTGCAATTTATCTCTATAACATCTGTACTGAATTGTTTTTCCATGGATCTAAACCTTGTTTCCCCAACGAGCAAAATGTAAGTTCCTTTGTAGATGTACGCTCAACCTCAGGTTGATCTGAAAACTCTAGTTATTATTAGTTCTTAGATCTTAGATAAGTCACTTATCCTCCCTGGACCTCAATTTCTGCTGAGACTAAATATACAAACAATGGCCAGACCATATATGAAAATAGAACTCTGACCCATAGACTGCAGCAACCTGCCCAGGAAATCAACCCATTGTCCATAGTAGGTGTCCTCAAACTACGGCCTGCGGGCCACACACGGCCCCACCAAGGACATTTATCCAGCCCTGCCAAGGACATTTATCCAGTCCTGCCAAGGACATTTATCCAGCCCGCTGGGTGTTTTGCCGCCGCTGCCTGTCCTGCTTAGCGGCCCGAGGTGTCGGGGCCCACAGTGCGCATGTGTGGAATGTGCGCTGCACTCTCCAACAGGCCTCCAACGGGCTGAGGGACAGTGAACTGGCACCTGTTTAAAAAGTTTGAGGACCCCTGATAGTAACCAGCCTACTGTTACTGAGTCAGACTTGTAGGAAGTCAGATCACTGTCTTTAGCATTGAGGCCAGATAGCAATAACCCCTGTAACAATTGGCCCCAAATGGCCAGAACTTGATTAATAACGGATAGCACCTCTAATTTTTGCCCCTACTTTCAACTCAGGACCAACCAGAGAAAGCCGAATATACACCCCTAACCAATCACATAGAAAGCCCTATTTCTAGATAGCCTCCTACAGCTTCTCCCTTCAGCCTCCGATCAGAGGGTACCTGAAGCTTTCCTTTTATTCCTCTATAAAGCTTCCCAACTCCTCTCCCTACCTTGGAGTCTCTACCAAAATGCAGGTCATAGTGGCTGACTCCCTTGATATAGGAAGCTCTGAATCAATAGCCTTTTCCTGTCCTCATTTCGTTGGTTTTTATTTATTTACACACCGCATTCATAAAATAAAAGAGTTGGAACAGATGACTCTGGAGTCTAGAAACTGGATGTGCTGCCATGGTCTCAGGGTGCCAGATGTTGCTGCTGCCACTGCTGCCTTCCTTCCATTGATTGCCAAAAAGGAACCTGCATGGTTTCTATGTCACCCACTTTGGATCCAGAGGCAAATGCACCTGCTTGAGTGGGCCTAGGTGATGTCCCATGCTCTGGATGCCAAGGAGGCCGGAAATGCCTCTTCTCTGATGGGAGGTGGGCTCTCTCTCAGAAGGAGACACATCTCCAACCTAGGAGTGAGGTCCAGGTGCTGGTGATGCAAAAGAGTAAAAATATTCTTCTATCTTTTACTTCCACCATGGTTTAGAGTTGTCCAAATTCCCTAATTTTAAGGACTGGTGCCTTTTCTGATGTAGTCCACTGTAACTTTGTCTGCCTGTCCCTTCCCATACAGATGGAGAGAAAATGGACCATTCGCCCACTGGACTCTTTAAGTTCCTGGAAGACAGGGCTGGGTTTTTTGTTTGTTTGTTTGTTTTTAGCTTTTTAGCCAGCCCCATCCTACCTCATCTCAGCATAGTATAACACTACATTATTGATACAGACTGAATTCCAAAGCAAGAGAATGGAAAGAAAAAGAAATTAAAAAAAAACAAATTAACTTGCTTTTTATCTGTAAGTGGCCCCCTTTGCTAATTTTTTCATGAGTCAAAGACTTTTGAGATTTGCTGGAAAATGGAAAATCCACCCTGCTCTGCAGACTGGGCCTTGCTCAAAGGAGGCCGTACCATAAATGATGAAAGAATGACTGAATACAGCCACTCCCCTATTTCACTGGAAGATTGGGAAGAGGAAAGGCCACACTCACCAGCTCAGCTCCACGGTCATGGGCAGAATGAGTCATTTATTTAACGGGAAGAAGGTAGGACTCAGATGCCTGGAGGCAGGAAGCTATGAATTATAAAGAGCTAATACCTCTCTGATTGCATTCTTAGTCTTACTGAATGTTAGAAGTGGGAGGGAACATACTCATCACAGAGAACATGCAGATCATTTCAGAGGGTAACTGTGCTTCAGAGAGAGAAAGTGACTTGCCAAAGATTACACAATGCACTGTGACAGAGTTGGCATTAAAACTCACGTCTCTATACTTCCAGGACCACTAAACCTAAATTCCATTTAAGAAGAAATAAAACTTAACCAGAGTAGAAAAGAAAAATGACTTCATTCATAGCTGAGGGAATCTGCAAAAAGCTACTAAGTTTAGTGAAGTTGCAGAATACAAGATCAATATGCAAAAATCAATTGTATTTTCATACACTGGCAACACACTATTGGAACTTGAAATTTTAAATACATTATTAATCATAAT